TGTGATTAAATACATATAATCACATGTGATTATATATATGAGAATAATTGTTTAATCAAACACTTGAAAAGAAATCTTTTTCACAAACATCATATGTGATTATATATATATATATATATATATATATATATATATATATATATATATATATAATCACATGTGATTAAATATAAGAGACCAACTAATGAATCGACAACAAGAAAATGCATTTTGTTACATAAATCATATATGATTAAAACATAAAATCACAGGTGATTATATATGTCTAATCACATGTGATTTATATGGATAAAATACATTTTTGTTATTCTTGTGTATTTAATCATATATGATTATAGGTATCTAATCACGTATGATTTATTTAGACAAAAATCAATCTTATCCATATAAATCATATGTGATTAGATTCATAAAATCACACGTGATTAGATATATTTAATCATATATGATTAATTTGGATAAAAATTTGTTTTCGTGTTCTTGGTTCAATATTTGTTGTCGTGTATATAATCACATGCGATTGTATGTATATAATCACATAATATTTTTACAGACAATATTCGTTTTTCGAAATAAAACCATATGTGATTAATATATAATCACATCCAATTAAATGTATTTAATCACATATGATTAAAGTGGAAAAAAAAAACAATTATTAAATCGAGAACGTAGAAATGAATATTAGCCACACACGTCATATTTGATTATATATATATAATCACATGTGATTAAATATAAGAGAGCAACTAATGAATCGACAACGCGAAAATGCATTTTGTTTACATAAATCATATATGATTAAAACATAGAATCACATGTGATTATGTGAATCTAACCACATATGATTTATGTGGATACAATTTATTTTTTCTTTGTTGATTCAATAGTTGTTCTCATTTATGTTATCGCATGTGATTATATGTATAATTGTATGTGATTAAGTACATGAGCATAACTATTGAATCGAGAAGGAAAAAATGAATCTCGTCCACCTCAAATCATATGTGATTATATACATATAATCACATGTGATTATATGTATCTAATCACATATGATTTATGTGGACAAGATTCTTTATCATGTTTTCGATTCAATTATTGTTTTTTCTCAACTTTAATCATATGTGATTAAATATATCTAATCACATGTGATTAAATATATCTAATCACATGTGATTTATATGGACAAAAAAGAATATTATCCATATAAATCATATGTGATTAGATACATATAATCACATGTGATTTTATACACGAGAACAAATATTGAATCATATGTGATTAAATACATATAATCATATATTAATAAATACATTCGAAAATTTATTGAATAGAAAATACAAAAACAAATATTATCAATATAAATAATGTGTGATTAGATACATATAATCACATATAAATCATTTGTCATTAGATACATAGAAAAGTAATTATTCAGTTAAAACTACAAAAATAAATATTGTCTGTGTAAATCATATCTGATTAAATACATATAATCACATGTGATTATATGTATCCAATCATATATGGTTTATATGATTGAGATTCATTCACATTCTCGATTGAATAATTGTTCTTTGTCCAATTTAATCATACGTGGTTAAATACATATAATCATATGTGATTATATGTATCTAGTCATATATGATTTATACAGACAAAAAATAATGATGTCTATATAAATCATATGTGATTAGATACATATAGTCACATATGATTATATACACATGAACAACTATTTAATCGAGAACGGAAAGATAAATATTGTCCACATATATCATATATGATTAAATGCATAGAATCACATATGATTATATATATCTAATCACATATGATTTATCTAGACAAGATTCATTTTCATGTTCTCGATTCAATAGTTGTTTTTTTCCACTTTAATCATACGTGATTAAATACATTTAATCATATGTGATTATATGCTTCTAATCACATGTGATTTTATTTGGAAAAAACGAATCTTGTCTATATAAATCATATTTGATTAGCTATATACAATCGCATATGATTATATACACGATAATAAATATTGAATCAAGAACGCGAAAACAAAACTTTATCCACATTAATCATATGTGATTAAATACATCAAATCACATGTGATTATATGAATCTAATCACATATGATTTATGTATCTAATCACATATGATTAAATATAATTAAATACTTATAATCATATGATTAAATACTTATGATCATATGTGATTATATGTATCTAATCACATATGATTAAAGTTGACAAAAAAATAATTATTGAATCGAGAGCACGATAATGACATATGCGATTAGATATATCTAATCACATTTAATCCCATGTGATTATATGTATCTAATCACATATGATTTACATGGAAAATATTTATTTTCATGTTCTCAATTCAATAATTATTTTTTGTCCATTTTATTCGTATTTGATTAAATACACGAGAACAACTATTTAATCAAAAACGCGAAAACGAATCCAGTCCAAATAAATCAAATGTGATTAAATACATATTCACATGTAACTAAATACACATGTGATTATATGTATCTAATCATGTATGATTTATGTAGACATGATTTACTTTTGTATTCTTGATTCAATAGGTGTTCTTTTACAACATTAACCATATGTGAATATTGTACATATAAATCATATGTGATTAAATACATTTAATCACGTGTGATTATATGTATCTAATCACTTATGATTCATGAGGACATTGTTCGTTTTTGCTTTCTCGTTTCAATAGTTGTTCTTATTATTTAATCACAAGTGATTAGATTATATGTATTTAATCACATATAATCATATGTGATTAAATACATATAATCATATGTGATTGTACATATAATCACATGTGATTATATGTATCCAATCATATACGATTTTTGTAGAGAAGATTCATTGTCACGTTCTCGATTCAATAATTCTTCTTTGTCAAAATTAATCATATGTGATGAAATACATGTAATCACATGTGATTATATGTATCTAATTACATATGATTTATTTGAACAATAATCATTTTTTCTTTTTTGATTCAGTAATTTTTCTCTTGTATTTATTCATATGTGAATGTATTTAATCATAAACATTTTTTGTCTGTAGATTATATGTAATTACATACATATATAATCACATATGATTATATACACGAGAACAATTATTGAACCAAGAATATGGAAACAAATATTTTCCGTACAAATGATATGAGATTAAATACATATAATCAAATATGATTAGATACACGAGACCAACTATTGAATAAAAAGTGAGTAATAACTATTATCTATATAAATCATATGTGTTTAAATAGATATAATCACATGTGATTATACATATAATCACATGTGATTATATATATTTAATCACATAAGGTTTATATAAACAAGATTCGTTAAAAACAAATATTTTCCAAATAAATCACATATTATTGAATACAGATAATCACATGCGATTAAATTATATACGATTAGATACATATAATCATATATGATTAGATACATATAATCACATGTGATTATATGTATTTAATCACATATAAAAAAGGTACATATAATCACACATGATTTATGCCATTATATGTATTTAATCACATATAATATTAGGGGCAATAGGTAATGGATGGTGGTGATAGGTGATGGTGGTGGGTTGTGGTGGTGAGTGGTAGTGGTGGTGGTTTTGGTGGGTGATGGGTGGTGGTCCTGGTGATGAGCAGTGGTAATGGGTGGTGGAGGTGGGTGTTGGTGATGGATGGTGGTGGTATTGATGGGTGGTGATGGTGGTAGTGGTAGGTGGTGATGGTGGTGGCGGGTGGTGGGTAGTGGTGGTGGTGGTGGTGGTGGTGGGGTAGTGATGGGTGGTAGGTGATGGTTGGTGGTAGTGGTTAGTGATGGGTAGTTTGGTGATGGGTGGTAGGTAGTGGTTGAGGGTGGTGGTGGCATACGGTGGTGATGGGTGGTGGTAGTAGGTAGTGGTGGCAGGTGGTGGTGGTTGGGTTGTGATGGTGGTGGGTGGTGGTGGTGGGTAGTGATGGGTGGTGGGTGGTAGTTGGTGGTGGTGGTGGTGGCGGTAGTGGGTGGTAGGTAGTGATGGGTGATGGTGGCGGGTGGTGGTAGGTGGTGGGTAGTGATGGGTGGTGGGTAGTGGTTGGTGGTGGTGGGTAGTGATGGGTGGTGGTGATGGGTGGTACGTAGTGGTTGTTGGTGGTGGTAGCGGGCGGTTGTGATGGGTGGTGGAGGTGGGTGGTGGTAGCGGGTGGTGGTGGTGGTGGGTAGTGATAGGTGGTGTGGTGGTTAGTGATGGGTGGTGGTGATGGTAATGGTGGTGATGAGTGATAGGTAGTGGTTGTGGGTGGTGGTGGCACGTAGTGGTGATGGGTGGTAGGTAGTGGTTATTGGTGGTGGTGGCAGGCGGTGGTGATGGGTGGTGGAGGTGGGTGGGTAGTGATGGTGGTGGGTGGTGATGGTGGTGGCGGGTGGTGGTTGGTGGTGGTGGGTGGCGGGTAGTGATGGGTGGTGGGTGTTAGTTGGTGCTGGTGGTTAATGATGGGTAGTGGTGGCGCGTGGTGGTAGTGGGTGGTGTTGGTTGGGTGATGAGTTGTGTTAGTTAGTGGGTTTTTTAATTGTTTGTAACTATTTTTTGATTTATATGAATATTATTTTATAATTTTAATTAAAAAAATTGTGTTTTTCAAATTTGTTCACAAATGTTCTCGCGTTAAGAAATGTTCTCGATTGAACGATCCCCTATATATATATATATATATATATATATATATATATATATATATATATATATATATATATATATATATATATATATATAGAGAGAGAGAGAGAGAGAGCTAAGTTCATTTGTTTAAACTATGTATTTTGTTATCGTATGTATAAATGTGGGTCAATCAAAATTAAATAAAAAATTAAATAACTAAATAAATAAATAAGGGTAAATTAGTCATTTGTTTAATAACTTAAAAAAATAATCCCCATAATCATGGTATCTCTCCAGTTTAAATCTTCTTCCCCTCTTTATCTAAAAACCGATTTCTGAAAACCCTAAATTGAACAAATCGACACCCCTACCCTTGTCCTTCCAGCCGTCATTTCCCCTTTATTCCAGTCTGCATCAAGTTCCGATTCTGACTCGGAGTCGGACGACGAAGCTCAAGCTGCTCTCGAATTACAAACCCTAGAAACGAAGCTCTCGACAAGGAGCAGCGAAGCAACAGTGCAGGTGAGTATAAAAACTATTGGGAGACCAATATGTTTCTCCAAACCGAAGAATTCAATAGGTAATTATACTAATTAACTAATCATATGATCTTCTCCTTTTCTCTTTGTTGTTTAAACCTGAATCCATCATTTTCTTCTACAATTTCTGAAATACAGTTGGGCGGATTGGGGAAAACATTTTCCGACTACTATGATTCAAGTTCGCCGGACGAAACTCAGTCGTCGGCGGCCTCCAAGGGAGGATTATTCAAGATGAGATAATGAAACTAGAGTCTCAAAAATCAAAATCTAGGGTTTACGATTTTGATCAGGACACAATGTTCATGTCAACAGAAAAATCAAAGAAGAAAAGGATTCAACAATCTCCAGATACAAGTGATTCAAGGGCCTTTCCGATTGAAATTATTGAAGTAAGTCAAAGTCTTGAACTGTTTTTACGTACTCTCATGATTTTATCTCAAATTGATGATTGTGTTAAACTGTTAATTATCAGTTAAAAGTGTCATACGTGGGAGAGAATATAGCATTGGTGAGTTTGAAATGCAGGAAAAGAGACACGATGGTCAAGATTTGTGAGGTTTTTGAATCTTTGAAGCTCAATGTTGTCACTGCCAACATCACTGCTTTTCCTGAGACCCTTTTCAAGATACTCTTCATTCAGGTGTACACTAGAAAACATACACTTAGGTGGTGTGTTCTTGACTGAAAACAAAGAAGAGAAGGAATGCAGGGGTGATTTTTCTTTTGTATTAAATATTGATTGTGAATCGATACAGAAAAGAATTGAGAATGGAAGAGTGTTTATGTAGATGATTCAATGGATGATATTGGTGAGATTCCACTTCTATTGGAATGGAATCACGAATTCCAATTCTATTGGAATGGAAAGACGAATTCCAATTCTGTTGGAATCACATGTGTTGATGCTTGAAGAACAGACCACAAAATTGAAACGTACCACATTATTCTTTTAGAATGTATTAGTCGTTGTTAGATTTTTTGATATTTTCTTTCCCGTTTTGATTGTTTTTTACTTTTATTCCTTAATAGTTGTAATTCTTAACAATTGTTACCCGTATTCTATAAAAAATAATGTGTTTTTTGTTTTTATTCTCAATTGAAAGATTTATTATTCTACAATAAGTTTTTAAATTCATGATCAAGAAATAAATTCAAAAATATTTTTATTGTTTATAGTTCAAGAATATTTTTGCTTGAATCACCCTATTATAATAAAAAAAAAAAAAAAAAAAGTTATGATTTCCTTACATTGAATGTCTCTCGGCAACTTGATTATCGTTATTAAACGGTAAGGTTGCGTTTAGTTACGGAAAAACAATTTTCATTTTCCGTTTTTTGTTTTCCCTTTTCAATTTTCATTTTCCGTTTTCATTTTTCATTGAAAAATTTAGAGAACGCGTTTAGTTAAACTTATTCATTTTTCATTTTCAGTTTTAGAAAATTAGAAAACGTGTTTAAATGTCTATTTTTCTATCGGTTTTCATTTTTAAAAAACGGTAGTGGTAGTAGGGGGTGGGGGCGGTGACGGTAGCGGGTCGGCGGCGGTGGTGGTGATGACAGGCGATGGTGGTGGCGGCGTCAATTTTATCAGTGGTGGTGATGGTGGTGGTGCTAGTGATGGGTTAGTGGTGGTGGTGGTGATGGTAGGTCGGTGATTGTTGTGGTGGTGTTGGGTGGGTGGGGGTGCGAGTGTGTGTTTGTGTGTGTATGTGTGTTTGTGGGGGTAGGTGTAGGTTTGTGTGTGTGTGGGTGTGTGTGTCTGTGAGGGTGGGGGTAGGTGTGGGTGTGTGTGTGGGTGTGTGGGTATGTACGTGTGTGTGTATGGGTGGGTATATATGTGTGTGTGTTTGTGGGTTGGTGTGTGTGTGTGTGTGTTTGTGGGTGGGTGGGTGTGTATGTATGTGTATGTGTGTGTGTGTGGGGAGGGGGGTGGGTGGGTATGTATGTGTAAGTGTGTGTGTTTGTAGGTGTGTGTGTGTGTGTGGGTTGGTGTGTGCATGTGTATGTTGGTGGGTGTGTGTGGGTAGGTATGTATGTATGTGTGTTTGTGGGTGTGTGTGTGTGTGGATGGGTATGTATGTGTGTGTGTGTGGGTTGGTGTGTGTGTGTGTGTGCGGGTGGGTGTGTGTGTGGGTGGGTATGTATGTGTGTGTCGGGGTTGGTGTGTGTGTGTGTGGGTTGGTGTGTGTGTATATGTGTGTGTGTTTGTGGGTTGATGTGTGTGTGTGTGCGGGTGTGTGTGTGGGGGTGGATATGTATGTGTGTGTGTGGGTGAGGGGTGTTAAGGTGGGGGTAGGTAGAAGTGGATGAGGTGAAGTGGGTGTGTGTTTATAGAAAAATTTTGGAATTAGAAAAATATGGAAAACAATGATTATCAGTTTTCCAAAATTTTCCAACTTGTTTGTAATTTTAGAAAACGGAAAAATTTCATTTTCCGTGAAAAATTTAGAAAAATAGACGAACTAAACGCGTTTTCAAAATTCTCATTTTTCTTGGAAAATTTTTCCGGAAAACGGTTCATTTTTCCGCAACTAAACGCACCCTAATTTTTTGAATTTGGGGATTTGCAGCATTGCTAGATTACCACGAGTTTTGAGGTAAAATTTTCTCTCACTCATAATCATCTCTCAACCATGTTATCTAAAGTATAAAAGGGATATTAACGTCATTAAACACTTTATGTATTCAATAATCATCAAAAGGCTCTCGATTGCTCGTCTTCTCAAGAACCCTAGTTGCAATGGCTCCTCCTGCTGTTCTCTACACCTATGTTCCAACTCCGAATGTTTTCAAGGTTGCTAGAACCCCAGATTATCCCATCGTAATCATGGCCAACAATGTGGAATTGTCACCTGAAATTCCTAAATTTGTTTGAAACAAGGGTTTTGAAGGTTTCGTTGATTATCTTCTCACATGTCCACTTTTCTACGCCCTTGTTGATACAGCTGATCCTTTTCTTCCTCATCATATCTTTGTGTTTTACAATTCCTCTACTTACTATGATATCGGAGTGATTATGGCACCAACGGATACGGAGAGCATACAGTATCGATCACTGTGAATCATGTTCACAGAGCATTACAATTCCCAATCAAAGACGAATACTTCCCTACTCCCTCCCCTAAGGATTGTCATTTTTTTCATGAAAAAATGGGATAGAATTTTAGTACACAAGACAACTACAATGTTCTCCACTTGCACTTTCCCTCCTCCTAGAAAATTTTCACTGGTGTTCTAGGAAAATGCCTTACTGCCACGATTAAGAGTCTAGATCAGATAAACATCATTGAACAACGTATTTTATTTTTGGTAATTAGGGGCAAGTAGTTGTACTTTGCTCAACTTATCTTTCGCCTCATGTTTCTTACTCTAGGTGGTTCGCTGTTATTCTTCACTGTCTTGGTGTTGGTTATGATGATGTTAATGTTGATGAACGGGCTCATTCTACAACCTTATAAACGTTGTTCAATCAAATTCTTGATGAAGAATCAAACATTACCAAACATATGTAGAAGTGGATCGATGCTCCATATGAATGTGAAAGACTGCCTTGTGTTTCCCCTACTGTTTCTTAAAAGAATGAGGACATGGAAGATGAAAACCAAGTATCTGACCAAGAAACTGAAGATCAGATTGTCACTAAGGGAACTTCTCAGTCAGATGAAGAAATTGAGACTTCCAACAAGTCTCTGGACGATGAAAGTGATTATGAATACCATAGTGAGGATACTGAAATAATCGAAATCGATCACAGTAAAACCTCTCAAGGGTATGTGGCTGAATCAAATAGACCCAACAAACAACAAATGAAGAAGAAAATGTTGTTCTTGAAACTCCTCCAACTCTCCAATCTAATGACGCTGATGTTAGTTATGATTGAGGAAATATGCCTGCTCAAGTGCCATCTACAGCTCAAACTTCATTTGTTTGCTCTCTTGAGGTCCCATCTATTCAACATTATCTTACATCACCTATTCAGATTGAACAACTATCTCATGTTCAAAAATTTATTTCCAATCGAGCAACTGTTTAGGGGGAGCAACCATAAGTTAGCCGTTTGTTAGCAAATTTCAAGAGTTTCAAGTGAAAGTTTTCTCATGGCTCAAATTTCTTGTTCAGTTGGCCTCTCATATGAATTAACATTTGATCTCAATTGAGACCGATGTCACTAAAATCAAACACATTGTTACATGGGATTGCAGTGTCACTAGAGATGATGGCAATCAGTCTCCTCCTGGTGATGATCAAAAACCTCCACCTCGTTCTATAGGTGCTCCTCCTTCTGAAAAGCCCTTTTCCTCCATGCCTCCAACTACTACTATTGTTCAAACTCTTAAACTGATGATAAAGGAAAAAGGAAAAAGTGATAAATCACAAGACATGGTGATAAAGGAAAAAGTGGTGAAACATAACTAACATAGTGAAATTTGGATATAGGGAATGGATACAGACAGATTCTAGAGTTGGTAAATAAACAGAAAGAAAATTTTTCTCTCGAACTAAAGCTTATTCTGGAAAGACTCATCTTGAAAGTGAAGGATATTGACTTTGTGCCAAAATCCTTAAATAAAACCTCTTCATCCTTATCGCCTTGATCAGTGCCTTTAAGGGCATCATATTTCTACTCCCTCATGGCACTAAAGTTATTGACAACTCTCTTCCTGCAGGTGTTCATCGTGTTCAACACATGTTCATTGTTCATCCTGAGCATGAAATCTTGTACATGTATAAATCGAAGAACATGTGCTTTCAGTGTTCAATCGATCTAGCTAAATCTCCCTCTAAGCATCATGTACAACTGAGGTTGGAATGTTTGGGTCACCCAAGTCTTGAACGCAGTTATCACTTCTTGATTTCCTTTTAGCTGAACAAAAGAAAGGAAGAACTCGCAATCTCGGATTACTTCTGGGTTAAGACATAAGTTAAAGAAGATGTTGAAGAATTTTATAGAAGTTCAAAAGAAAAAGATTTTTGGTTTTGACATTATCAAATTGGGGGAGATTGTAAGGAAACTTAGAATCAGATAATGTAAAACCCTTATGCTGACCCTCATCAGCATCATTGTGTCACTAGTGCCAGTATGAAGCTTAACCGTTCCAACGTATAATCTATTGATGTAATTTGTTATATATGTAGAAAGATAGTTAGTCTGTTAGCAGATCCGATATATTCTATTATTTACGTAGATTAGGTGATATCCCTGAAATGTAGGGATTCACAAACATCTTTACTTTTCTATATGTAATAGGTTTCGTGTCATTAGTTAATCATTGAACCCTGGAGAGCATTGTGCGCGTTCTCGTACTGAGAACCTTTTCTTTTCATAGTGAAAAACATTTGTTATATCTCTTTCTGTTCTTTCAATCCTCTTTGTTGTTAATCGTTATAAGATCAAGGGAACCTTCACACTTGACAGCTAGGGCACGTTGCATACATTCATAAGCAATCCGTGCTTTTAATTTATCTAGTGCGCCGTGACTAACCCAAGCTGTGCCACACTTCAGCCCAATTCTTGAAAAGTTTTAAATTTTAAAAGAGATACATTACACGAATCGTGTGTTACATATACCCTTTCATTTTTTTTATTAAATAATTTTAATACATTAATACTCACACTATATTATAAATGAAACATTTTTTCTTTCACCATATTTATTTGAAACTCCTATGTATTTTCTTTTCACCACATTCATTTGAAATTCCCTTTTCAATTTCTTTCTAATAATGATTATAAGTTGGTTAATAAAGTTAGATAAATATCAAATTTAAAATGTAGTCATTTATAAACTAAATTTCAATATTAAAATAACATATTTACTTCTATTTATAAAGTTATGTTTTTTAACTTTTAACATATTATACTTAATTTATTAGTATTAATATATTATTGGATGTAAATCATTATCATTT